TTTTTTTTTTTTTTTTTTGAGTTAGAGTCTCACTGTTGCCCAGGCTGGAGGGCAGTGGCATGCTCACGACTACCTCAGCCTTGACCCGCTGGGCTCAGGCGATCCTTCCACCTTGCCTTCCAAATAGCTGGAACTACAGGCATGTGTGCTACCACGCTCAGCTAATTTTTGATTTACTGTAGAGGTGAGGTCTTACCATGTTGCCCAGGCTGGTCTCAAACCTGTGGGCTCAGGTGATCTTCTTACCTCGGCCTTCCAAAGTTCTGGGATTATAGGCGTGAGCTACTGTGCCTGGCTTTATTTTTATTATTATATTTTTGAGTAGGAGTCTCACTCCGTCACCCAAGCTGGAGTGCAGTGGCACGCTCATGGCCACTGCAGCCTCGATCAGCTTGGCTCAGGGGATCCTTCTGCCTCAGCCTTCCACATAGCTGAAAACACCAGGCATGTGCCACCATGCCTGGCTAATTTTTTGATTTATTGTAGAAACGAGGCCTTGCCAAGTTGCCCAGGCTGGTCTCAAACCTCTGCACTTAGGCAATCCTCTCACCTTCGCCTCCCCAAAGTGCTGTAATTACAGGTGTGAACCACTGCGCCCGGACTGTATTTCATTTCTGTTATTTCATCATTTCAAAAATATTGTAAACATAGAATCACATTCTTTTTGGGATATGACCTTTGGGGATTGGCATTTTTTTACTCAACCCAGTTATCTGGAGCCTCATTCATCCAAGTCATTGTATGTACCAATAGTTTGTTCCTTTCTATTGTTGAGTAGTAGTCCAAAGTGTCGTTGTTCCACGGTTTGTTTATTCATCTGTTAAAGGACATCTACATTGTTTTCAGTTTTTGCCTATTGTGAATAAAGCTGCCGTAAACATTCATATTTGTAAGTTTTTGTGTGAACAGTTTTCATTTCTTAGGGGTAAACTGTAGGTCATATAGTAGTTGCATATTTAGTTTTTTAAAAGAAAGTGCCAAACTGTTCTCCAGAGTGGTTGTACCACTTTACATTCCCACTAGCAATGTTGAGTGGTCTAGTTTTTTCATATGCATAACAGCATATGGCGTTTTCACTTTTATTTCAGCCATTCTGATAGGTGTGTGATAATATCTCATTATGGCTTTGTCTTTTCCTCAGTGGTTAATGACTTTATATGCTTATTTGCCATCCTTATATAACCTCTTTAATGAAATGTCTATTCATAGCTTTTGTCCATTTTTTTAGTTGGATTGCTTATTTTTTACTGTATAGTTTTGAGAGTTCTAGATCAATAATAGTCATTTGTCAGTTATGTGGTTTTCAGATATTTTCTGCCACTCTGTAGCTTGTCTTTTTTATTTTAAAGATTTGGGGTACAATTCAGGGTTAGGTCCATATGTGGTTATCACACAGGTAAAGTTTAGGCCTCCCTTTGGTCCCCATTTGGCCTGGTTTGAGTATGTTTATTGATGTTATGGGCCCCCCTCCACGAAAAACAGTGTGGTGATTCCTAAAATATTGAAAAATGGAACTTCCATATGACCCAGCAATCCTCCTTCTGGGATTATACTGAGAGGAACTAAAATCAAACCTGCACATGCATGTTTATCACAGTATTCATAGTAACAAAAACCTGGAACCAACTATACTGCCCATCAAAGTGGACTGGTTAAAGAAAACGTGGCACATATGTACGATGGAGCATTACACAGCCATAAATAAAAACAAAATTGATAGTTTATTTTGCTTTGCAGAAGCTTTTCAGTTTGATGAGGTCCTACCTGTCTATCTTATCTCTTATGTCATGGGCAACTAGGGTTTTGCTCAGGAATTGGTTGCCTATTCCAATTTCCATAAGAGTGTTGCCTGCGTTTTCTAGTATTTTTATAGTTTGAGGTTTTACGTTTAGTTCTTTGATCCATTTAGAGTTGGTTTTTACGTAGGGTGATAGGGAGGGGTTCTGTTTCAAACGTCTGTGTATAGTCAGTTTTCTTTGCACGATTTACTGAATAGGTTTGCCTCTCCCTAGTGGTTTTGGTGGAGGCTCTGTCGAAGATGAGTTGGTTGAGAAATTGAGATTTTGCTTCCGGAATCTCTATCCTGTTCCATTGGTCTATATGCCTATTCTTGTACCAATACCAGGTTGTTTTGATTATTGTAACCTTGTAGTAGAGTTTAAAGTCTGGAAGTGTGATACTTCCTGCTAAGGATTGTTTTGAGTATTTGTGGTGTTTTATGTCTTTATATGAATTTCTGTATTGTTGTTTCCAGGTCTGAGAAAAATGATGTTGGTAATTTAATGGGTATTGCGTTAAATCTGTAGATTGCCTTTGATAGGACAGACATCTCAACAGTGCTACTTCTTCTAGTCAATAAGCATGGAATATTTTTCCATTTTTGTGTCTTCTTGGATTTCTTTTCTTTTTTGAGTTGGAGTCTTACTCTGTCGCCCAGGTTGTAGTGCAGTGGCACACTCACAGCCACCACAGCCTCGACCTGCTGGACTTAGGCAATCCTTCCGGCTCATCCTTCCAAGTAGCTGAAACTACAGGCGCGTGCTACCATGCCCAGCTAATGTTTTGATTTATTGTAGAGACGAGATCTCACCATGTTGCTTAGGCTGGTCTCGAACTCACTGGCTCAGGCAATCTTCTCGTCTCGGTCTCCCTGTTCTTGGATTTCTTTGAGCAATGTTTTGTAATTTTCATTGTAAAGGTCTTTCACTACTCTGGTAAGGAAGATGCCAAGGTATTTCTTTCTTTCTTTTCTTTTTTTTTTTTTGAGTTGGGAGTCTCACTCTGTTGCCCAGGCTGGAGTGCAGTGACACGCTCACAGCCACTGCAACCTTGATCTGCTGGGCTTAGGTGATCCTTCTGCGTCAGCCCTCCAAGTAGCTGGAATCAGAGGTGTGCACTACCACGCCTGGCTAATTTTTTTGATTTATTGTAGAGACAAGGTCTTGCCAAGTTGCCCAGGCTGGTCTCGAACCTCTTGAGCTCAGGCAGTCCTCTCATCGCTGCCTCTCAAAGTGCTGGGATTACAGATGTGAGGCACCATGCCTGACTGGTATTTTATTTTTGTGTGTGTGGCTATTGTGAATGGGATTGTGCTTTTTATTTGGTCCTCTGTTTGTTGTTGGTGAGAATACGACTATGTTTTGCACATTTATTTTGTACCTTGAGACTTTGCCAAAGTCCTTTATCAGTGCAAGGAGATTTTTAACAGAATCTCTTGGATTTTCAAGGCATAGGGATCAACATCAGTAAAGAAGGATAACTTAACTTCCTCTTTTTCTATTTGGGTACTTCTGATTTCCTTCTCTTGTCTGATTGCTCTAGCTAGGACTTCCAACACTATGATGAACAGGAGGGGTGAAAGTGGGCAGCCTTGTCTTGCTCTGGTTTTCAGGGTGATGCTTCCAGTTTCTGTCTTTTTAGCAATATGTTGACTGTGGGTGTATCATAGATGGCTCTTACTATTTTGAAGTGTGTTCCCTCTATGCCTAGGTATTTGAGGTTGTTTTTTTTTTAATTTTTTTTTTATCAAGAAGGGGTGCTGGATTTTTTTCAGCTTTTTTGTATCAAATGATATAATCGTGTGGTTCTTGTTTTTACATCTGTTGATGTATTTAACTACATTTATGGTCTTGCGGATCTTAAACCAGCCCTTCATCCTTGGGATGAAGCCTTCTTGGACATGGTAGGTGATTTTTGGGATATGTTGTTGGATCCAATTTGCCAGAATCTTGTAGAGAATTTTTACATCTATATTCATTAGGGAAATTGGTCTGTAGTTCTCTTTCTTCGTTGGATCTTTACCTGATTTGGGTATCAATGTAATGTTAGCTTTGTAAAGTGATTTGAGGAGAGTTCTGTCTTTCTTGATTACCTGGAATGCTTTTTTTTTCTGAGTCAGAGTCTCACTCTGTTGCCCCTGCTGGTGTGCAGTGGCATGCTGCTAGTGGCCACCGCAACCTCGACGTGCTGGGCTCAGGCGATCCTTCTCTCTCAGTCTTCTAAGTAGCTGGAACTACAGGCATGTGCCACCATGCCCAGCTACTTTTTTTATTTTATTGTAGAGACGAGATCTCACCATGTTGCCCAGGCTGGTCTCAAACCCCCAGCTCAGGCAATCCTTTCGCCTTAGTCTCCCAAAGTGCTGGAATTATAGGTGTGAGCCACCGTGCCTGGCCTGGAATACTTTCAATAGGATTGGTATCAGCTCCTCCTTATACATTTTGTAGAATTTTGCTGGAAATTGGTCTGGTTCAGGGTTTTTTTTTGTTTTATTTTGTTTTTGTAGGTAGTTTTCTTATGATGGAGTCAATTTCCTGGGTTGGTATTGGCCTATTTAGTGTCTCAATTTCTTCTTGTTTCAACGTTGGGAGGTTGTGTGATGTCAGAAAGTCCTCCATTTCATTTAGGTTTTTGAGTTTGTTTCCATACAGGTGTGCATAGTAATCTCTGATAATCTTTTGAATTTCTTCGGGGTGAGTTGTGACTTGATGTTTTATGTTTCTAGTTGTGTTTATTTGGACTTTTTCTCTCTTTTACTTGGTCGATCTTGCTAGGGGTCTATCAATCTTGATTATCCTTTCAAAGAACCAACTTTTTGTTTTGTTGATTTTTTTTCTATGACATTTTTGTCTTCTATATATCCCATATTTGGGCTTTTACTTTGTTTGGTGACCTGGGTTCTTCTGCGAAAGTTAAGGTTTTGGTGGTCTTGTCTTTGCAGCTCCTTTAGGTGATTTGCTAGGCTGTTAATTTGTGATCTTTCAATTTTTTAATGTGTTTTCGTAGAGACATAAATTCCCCTTTTAGTACTGTTTTCATGGCATCCGGTAAGAAGTATCTTCACTTTCCTTTTGTTTCCAGGAAGTTTCTGATTTCTGTTTTGATTTCCATGTTAACCCAGGAATTTTTAGAATCATGCTGTTTAGTGTCCATGTCTTTTGGGTTTTGGGGGAATTTTATGGTGTCAATATTTATTCCATTGTAGTCTTAAAAGGTTCATGGCAGCATTTTGATCTTATGACATTTGTTTATGCTTGATTTATGACTGAGAGTGTGGTCAATATTGGTTTACGATTTATGTGGTGACAAGTAGAATATGTATTCCATGGTTGTTGGGTGGAGTGTTCTGTAGGTATCTAATAAGTCCATTTGGTCAAGCGTCAAGGTGAGATTCTGGATCTCCTTGTTGATTTCTTTTTTTTTTTTTTTTGTCTTGATGATCTATCTAGAGTTGTTAGTGAGGTATTTATGTTTTCAGCTATGACAGTGTTAGAGTCAATATCTTTTTTTAGTTTTTTTAGTAGCTGCTTTATGAAAGCTTGTTCTCTTGTGTTGGGTGCATATATGTTTAGGATGAATATTTCATGCAGATGGATTGAACCTTTTATCATTATGTGGTGTCCTTCTGTATCTTTTTACATATTTGATTGCTTAAAGATTGTTTTTTCTGATATTAAGTGCATGATTCTTGCTTTCTTTCATGTTCCGTTTGCCTGAACATTTGTTTTCCATTCTTTAATTTTGAGTCTGTGAATATCGTTTGAATGATATATGTTTCCTGTAGGCAACATATTGTAGAGTTGTGTTTTTAAATCCAGTTTGCCATTCTAAGTCTTTTCAGTGGTGCATTTAGTCCATTCACGTTCAGGCTGATTACTAAGATGTGAGTATCCCTGTCATGAGATCCTTATGGAGTTATTTGTTGTTGTTGGTTGTTGGCTGTTTTTCTTTAGATTTTTGTATTGGCATATGTGTGTGTTTTCAGTTTTGCAGTCATGATGCATA